TCAGAGAGACCTGGTCCTTTGAACTTTTGAATGTCCTTCCATTCCTAGCTTTGATGTCATGGGCAAATTACTTAATATGTCAGAGTCTCTTCTTTATGTTCTTGAAGATGATGACATTATTTACTTAGTAGGTTCCTTAGGATTATCAAAGGAAGCTTATGTAAAAATTTACTAGTATCACACACACAGAGTGGTGTTGGTAAGTTGTAATTGTTATTCATATAAAAGAGAAAATAGTATCAGTGTACAGTACACAGCTAAAGTGGGCATATGGATTTTTTCCAAGAGTTTATATTTTTGTCAAAACTTGTAGGAAATGAGCCTGTTTTGTCAGGAAATCCCTGGAAGACCTTACAACTGATTATTTCTGAGATCTCCTGAACAATACATTTCACATTTGGGCTAGGATTTATAGTTTATACCTTATAAGTTCTTATCATGGTTCCTAAGCATAAATCAATAGACATAAGAATTCCTAAAGCATATATATTTTTTTCTGTTGACAATGGTTAGAGTTAGAATTGGGGACCAATTTTGCATTGCCTATTAAAGTAGAGGATTCACTTCAAAAAGCTCACATTCCTAATTTTCCTCGAATATTATACTAGCTGTGGCTGTACCCACACACTCCACTGAATTATGGGTGTCCTGTTCTGTGTTTTCACACGTATGTTTCAGCACGTTCAAGCTGACTTCCTACTAGACTACAACCTTACTACCTGCTAGTACTACCAGACTACTACTTTCCTCATCTGTTTCCTCCAAACATGCATTCATTCTCTATCTCTGAAACATTCTATGTGGAACCTTTCATTTCTCTCTTGCTTCCACTCTTCTTCCAGGTCTCAGCTAACATACCAATTTCCAGACCTGAAAATATCAAACTTAAACTACCTGTTCTTACTTTACCCATTATCTTTTCCTCTGTTATATCAATAATATTTTATTATTTGTTTTTTTATTTTAAACATGTATACATTAGATAGGATTTCTTTCAATAGCTATCAGAGATAGATAATGTGAAGGTAATAGACCAAATAACCTTTGTTCCGATAGATAAATACCAGGCCCAGAGCTTAGCACCCAATTATAATCAATAGATGTATTTTGTTGCCATAAGCAAATAAATAATATACTGTAAAATAAGTACCATGAAGAGTACAGACAGACTACGTCCCAAGAAGCCCTCATTTGCAGAGTCTTGATTAGAGTTCATATATTTCTAAGTTTCAAAGTTATTACCACTTTGAAAATACTGTATAACAGCGAAAACAAAACAAAACAAAAAAACCTACTAAGGGAAAAAAAAATTCCGGTGAAAACCAGTGTGATAAACACAGAGAAAAGAGAAAGAACATCAACAAAACCACTGAGTGAAAGTTTCTGTGATTTCAAATATCCTGTCTTCACCTTTTCTCTAGCTGAAAAGTGGGATGAATACAAGGCTGATAATTGTCTCCCCCATTAGCCCCAACAAGGGAATCAATCCCAAGTGCAGCATCCAGTTAAAAGAAATTTTCATACAAGTATCAGTCTTTGTTTTCTCTTTGGTCTAGTTTTTCAAAGTAATTACTTTGAGATTTACCCAGGGTATATGTATTTCATTGCTGAGAAATATTCAGTTAGATAAATAAATATGCCATAATTTAATTGAAGGATATTTTGGTTCTTTCTATTTACTGGTGATTACCAACAGTGTAGGGATGATGGAGGTGGAGAGAAGGTTCAGCAGTTAAGAGCTCTTTCTCATTAATTTCCAGCACCCACATGAGAGCTCATAAACTTATGCGACACCAGTCTAAGGAAACCTGCTGCCCTCTTCTGACCTCTGTAGGCACTACATGCATATTGTGCACAGACATACATGCAAGCAAACACTAATACACACTAATAAAGATAAAATAAAAATAAATAAAATCTAAAAACAACAAAACAAAATACCACCCAGCTACAAAAACTAATGTAGATGTCTCTGTTGGACACGATTTTTATTTCTCTTAAGTAAAAACCTGGGAGAAAAATGCCCAGGTAAATGATAGGATTTTTTTTGAGACACTGCTGAGTCATTTTCCAACAGCAGTCCCTTATCTGCCAGTGAACAGCACATGACAACTTTCACTACTTCTTGCTAACAATATACAGTACAGTGAGTCTGCATACTTTTAGTTGTTCCCATGCATGTACATTGTTACCTTACTACCTTACTATGTTTTTTTTTTGTTATTGTTTTGTTTTGTTTTTGTCCTGGAACATGTAACCTACTTTCAAATGTTCCATTTAAGACACTGATTGATACATCCTGAGCCATCACAACTGTGAACTCATGACCACTTCCATGACTGCTGAAATAGAAGTTGCCAACCTGAGCTACACTCTTTACTCTGCTCCTATTCTACATACTTTACCCTTTAGTGGAGAGATTCTGAAACATTGCTTAAGCAATTTTATTAATTAAAATAGAGAGCACAAAATTTAAAAAATAAATTTATAATTATGGTCTGCATAAATATTTAAAGGAATGCTATACAAATAAAAATAAAATCTTATTATTTTTACTATTTTTTATTCTTGTTATTATTTTTATTTTATTATTATTTTCAGGAGGTTTCTCTGTGTAGTCCTGGCTGTCCTGAAACACACTCTGTAGTCCAGGCTGGACTCAAACTCAAGAGATATATCCACTTACCTCAGCCTTTGAATGCTGGGAATAAAGATGTGTGTCACTGTTGCCTGGCTTGGAATAAGCATTTTAAATACTTTACTAGACACAATGATCTAATATCATTAGTTAACACTTAAGTGACAAAATATTATCACAGATTTTGTTAATAGGATTGTATATAAGGCTGTATTTCAACTACTATTCTTGATACTTTCTAGATTTTTGTTGTTGCTATTTGTTCTTATATGATCAGCACTTCCTCCTCTGAGTGTCTTTCACATACAACTTACATATGTGTGTATCCTTAGGCAAATAAAGGGGTAGTCAGTGCAGCCACCTTGTTTTCTGGAATTACTCTTACTATAATCATCTTTAGTGAATATTTCTCAGTGCAGGACATATAAGAAGGTTATTTTGTCTATCATTAGATAATATAAACTACAAATCACACATCTGAGAACATGGAAACGGAGATGCATTATGAAGCACAGGAAACAAACTCTAACTCCCCTTCTTTGTCTTCACGCAGCAGTTAACAGAAACGGTCCTACAAGAGCATCTTAGGGCATGCCAGAGTCCACCAACTCCAACAGTATTCTAGTAACACTTAACTACTGTACCATTTTATAGCCCTGATTGTGGTTTATTTTAGTGAATGGTCCATGAGCTTTCCACTCTAAGAGTAGATTCATTTATTGCTGTTTACAGGTCTGCCCATTTTTGCTTCATACATTTTGATAAGGCTGTCAGAGGCACACATGTGGACATTTGTTAATTGACTTGCTGGATTCAAGGTCCTCAGCTGTAAGTAGCAGAGACTGGAACCCCAGAACCAGTTTCTCTATGATTCTATCTTTGAGGTAAAGCTCTCCACCACATGTTGTTTAAATCACAAAGTGCTGTGGCCAGTGGGAGCATTCTAGTAGTATTCTCTTCTTTCAACTCTCTAAAGTACTCCATAGCCTGAGTCACATTTGAAGGATACTGTGATAACCTTGGTAAATTTCCTTTGCACATGATAATGCCTGGGGTTATAACAGTATCTTAACAACTATGGCAAAACTGTAGCACCATTTCAGCCAGATGATGACAAAGTCACAAAGATCCCTACGCACTGATAGAAGATTGCCAACATTCTTGGTATACTTCATTTCTAAAAACTTAAATTTTATCATATATTGTCACCTGACCAGTTACTATGTGTACCTAGGGAGATAAATATATAAACTCAATTATAAAGATTTATTTATTATGTAAACTGTATTTTTTGTTTGCATGTGTGTCTGCAGGCCAGAAGAGGGTTCTAGATCCCATTAAAGATGGTTGTGAGCCACCATGTGGTTGCTGGGAATTGAATTCAGGACCTCTGAAAGAGCAGACAGTGCTCTTAACATCTGAGCCATCTCTCCAGCCCCTCAAACACAATTTTTTGCAGAAATTTTGTTTTTATTATTTTTCTGCTCTCAGAAAAGAAGGTTCAATTAATATATGTAATCGGTCTAGAGGAAAACCTTAAACACCGAATTGAACAAAAACACTTAAGACTGCCATTTCAACTGTCAATGAGTCTAAACAATGCAAAAAGTCTTCAAGGAAGTCTTTCTTTGAGAAAATTCTTATTGAAGACGTAGAAAGGGTACTTAGAATTTCTCTAGTGGGTAAAAAGGGCCCTCTTTTTTTGTGCTTAACCATCACTAAAGTGTAATATGCAAATTCTCCAGTTTCTATTACTTGCAAATATTTCATTGCAACCAGGGTCTTCCTTGTTCTTCAAATCCTAATCTAGGGTGGGAGTGGGAGGATCTCCCTTAAAGTAGGAACTCAACTGAGTTGAAGAGTATTTGGGGCTAGAGATAAAGTAAACAGTCCCTAGACCTGTTAGTCTAGGCCTTCAGAACAAAAGCATAAATAACGGCTCCATGGTAGAGGTAAATTAAGCAGCAGAACATGGGTTAGACACTTGTCAACACCAATTAAGTAGCAACATCACGAAATACCTCAGTATCTCGGGTTCACATATGAGGAAACACACAAGCATATTAACTTTCCTCACAACTAAATTCTAAGATTAGAAATTGAGTCTCGCAGATTTTCATGACTTCCCCAACCACCACACCGCTTCCTTTCACTACAATTGGCTCTACACTAAGTACAGACAAGCCGGTGGGAGACCTACCGACTGAGTACAATCTGGGTTGAGAGCGCCACACTCACCCATGGGAAAGGGGCGCTGGGCACCGTAGGGACCTAGACCAGTGCTGCAGTCTCTGCTGCGCCCATTTACCGCGGGTCCCGGTGACCTCGCGTCGGTGCCTCCCCGCACCTCCCTGCGGCTCACCCAAAATTGATGGCGGAAGGAACAGCAGCAGGATGGCCAGCTGGGCTCCGCCGTAGCAGAAAGCTCCAAGGCGCCCCACAGTGCCCGGGCGCTCTGAGCTCCGAGAAGCCTTCATTTTCTTCAACACCGGTATCAAGCCCAATCTAGCGGCAAAGAGAAGGCAACCACGCCCAGGGTGCGGGAAATGACGCTGAGTTCAGGAATAAAGCTTTTCAAAACCGCTTCCCATTGTTGGGCGGGGTGTTTTTTATTACTCATTCGTGGGACTTCTATGGGATATCTCCTGGGAGATCGCTTCAGGGACGATCTCCACATGTTCCAGGATGTTTTCTAATTTTAAGTACTTTCAGTTCCGAAGAAAGCAAGGCATTATGGGAACTCGGTTTGCATGCATATAACCCGCCTTACTCCCCCCACCCCGCCGAAATTCGCAAGGGTGGAGCCTAATGCTAACCTGCAAGTGTCTTTTAAATGGAAAGCCTTCAGTTGCAGGTCCTGTGTAGTAAGAATCTATCTCCTTGTGATGAATTCAGAGGTAATGTGCCACGGAAACAAAAATTAAAGCAATGAGTCAATCAGATAAATTTTATAAATATGTCAACTCAACAGCTCTCATCTTAAAAGGAATAAGAGTTTATTCTGGAGTCATTTTGAGTGACCATAGTCCTGGAACAGTGATTTGGGTTACCCCAAATTCCATGTCCCAACGTGGAAGCAATTCCACAAAGGTTTTACAGTTTTACAGAGCAGAGAAAGTCTTAAATCAAGTTTAAAATAGGTTGGTGGTACATCAGAGAAGGAGGTACATTAATGCTGGGTAAGTTTTTCTGGCGGCTCAAGTTGCTATCTGATGGCACTCTTAGCTTTTGCATTGGTAGAAGCTAGTTTTCTGCTAAATTAATAGATTCTAAAAACATATGTATTGTTTGCTTGCTTACTTTGGAATTTTTGTTTGTTTTGTTTAATCTGTTGTTTCAAGATGTTAGTTCTGACACAGGAGGCAAGGAATGGCTGTTTCAGAGGCCCAGAATAAGATAAGGTAATTAGCCTGTGGCCCTGCAATATTGCAATCTCTCTATAGTTCTGAAATTCTAATCAGCCAGTCTCTGCAGACACAGATATCTTTCAGAAGTTTGCTTTCACAGGCAGATGCAATTTCTTTTCAGAAGTTTTTGTTCACAAATATAACATCAATGTTATTCAACCTAGATTAGGTCACTGCAGTAATGAATGGGGGAGACCAGCTAGGAGGTCTTGCCATCATCCAAGTGAAATTTGATGACAGGTGAACAATTAATAAGATCCCAGAAATGGAATAAACATGATTCACACTGGATTTTAGTTCCTTTCTTAATAATGAAGAAGAGGAAAGGATAGATAGACAGATAGATAGATACGGAAGAAAGAAAGAATGAATCAAGAAATAATCCCCTATTTAAAGATGGATGGTAGTACTTATTTAAATAACAAATATAGAGGGCCAAGTTTAGGGACCAGAATTAAGAATTCAAAGATTCCAAGAGAGAAATAGACCATGTGAACAAAAACATCCACATTCTATTTTCAGAACCTGTGATACTTTATTTGGTAGGAAAGACTTTGCTGATTAAACTAAATCAAGAATGTTGAAATGGGGAAGTAACTCTGACTATCAAGATAGACTTCATAATCCCAAGGATCCTTTTAAGAAGATGGTACTAGGTCAGAGAGGGAGAAAGTGAGAACAGAAACCATTGCTGCCTCCAGAGAGCAAATGCCAGCAGCCTTTATAAGGTAGAAGAAAGAAACAAATTCTCCTCTGGAGCTTTCAGATGGAACCAGTTCTGGCAGCCCTTTGAATTTAGTACTGTAGGAGTCATTTAAAATTTGAGTTATTCTCAAAAGAGTATGGAAGAAGCTATATTGCAGTAAAATGGATTCAGTCCCTCAACTTTCTTGCACCAAATGCTATCAGAGTAGGCTGCTCCAGTCTCACAAACTATTTCAACCAAGACCTAACCATTATACTGATTTTATCAAAGTTTCTTCCCCAAGATAACAGCACCCACAAAAAACAGGAAGTAGTCCAGAGAACTATGTCCACATTCCCCCCAAAATGGGTTATGGGTGCTTATTATCAATTAATGGGGGTTGTGTTATTGGTAATCGTCAGAAAGCAAAACAAAACAAAGGATCTTGATAAAAATCAATGATCTATCTTGTTCTGGAAAGAAAAAGGGGGGATACAGAAATGATAAAATAAAAGGGTAGATTATTGAATCTACTTTTAAACCAAAAAGAAGCTACTAGTCTTAAATATTTTACACTGGCATAGATTTTGGTTTAGTGATACAATTTTATTTTTACTTTTGTTATGCTGTGTGTATGTTTCTACTTATGTTTAGGGGAGTGTGCTTATGTAGCCCATTTAAGAATGTCATATATAGGGCTGGAAAAATGACTCAGTGGTTAAGAGCACTGACTGCTCTTCCAGAGGTCCTGAGTTAAATTCCCAGCAACCATAAGGTGGCTCACAAGCTCCAATAATGATAACTGGTACACTGTTCTGGACTGCAAGGACATATGCAGGAAAAATATGGTATACATAATAAATAAATAAATCTTTTAAAAAATTGTAGCATATAATTAAAAATACAGGTTAATAGTTAGGCATTTATACTAGTCAAATTTATAGTCATGTTAGGTATGTTTTCAAGGTCATACACAGATATATTTAGATATATAGTCTTCAAACTTCAAAGACCTACAGAATGTGGTATTTATATGTTTAATAATCTAAGGCTTTTCATGACAGTGAGACACATCCACTACTGGCAGCACTGATCTACTTTAACGAAGGTGATGAGCATCAAAAAAAAAAAAAAGACACCTCCTAATGGAATTTGTTTCCTTTATGACAAAAGCTAGCCATGTGGGCAAAGAAACTGCCCTTGCCTCAATTTCTGACAGATACTATCCAATTTCTAACAGATACTATCCAAACAGAACCAGCAGAACTCAAAAGAAAGTGACTGCCAAACTTAACCAAGACAAAGAAGGACAGTCCTTCAACATTCTCTGCTTCTCAGAAGCATCTGTCAGATATTTTAGGCCCATAGGCCAAAGATGGATGCCCCAATGTGACAATAGAACTTAGGATGAATGTCCAGGCAGCCTGATGCTCCTGTCATTAGGTAACATTTCACCCTTCTGAGGTCTTTGATGGGGTTGAAGACTGAAAAGTTCTAACTATAGTTTTCCTTAGCTATGATAAAAGGTAAATCATTTGTAAAACTTTAGAATCCATAAGAAAAGATAGATATTGCAGTATTTTCTCTAATGTTGCCAAATGCAATCAGACTAGATATTGTAACTGTAATTCTTATTTAATAACTGTTTTTATAATATTTTTACTATGTTAAGGTTAAAACCTTCCTTTTTAATTAAATGAAACAAGTAAATGCTGTGTAATATTACTTTATACTGTTTGAATATATGTTGCTGTGATTGGTTTACTAAAGAAGCTGACTGGTCAATAGCTGAACAGCATAAGTTTAGGCAGGAGAGTGAGACAAGGAAAATGCTTGGAGAAAGAAGGGTTGAGTCTGAAGAGATGCCAGCCAGAAATAGAGGAAGCAGGACTTGTAGAAAATGAGGTAACAAGCCAAGAGCCACATTGCAGAGGGTAGATAAGAAATATGGGTTAATTTAAATGTAAAGTTAGTCTGCAGGGGCTTCTCTCCCCTGCTACTGCCTCTCTCTTCCTATCCCATCCCAGCTTGTGCTCAGGCTCCCCATCCCTTCTTCCTCCCTTCTTTGGGGACTGGGTGATGAGTGCAATCAGCGGGAGTTCCTTTGTTTCAATTGCCTGCCTGCAGCAAGGTAGGTCTTTTGTCTGCAAGGTCCCTGACCAACAAGGGGACTTGAGCCTCTAACAGAAGATCCATCAGAGGGGTGAGTGTGTTCCTGACCCATGGCAGAACCATGGGAATCAGAGCACAGACATTCCTCAAACCCCTAAACTTCTGGGTCAATCTGTAGGGACTTCTCTCCCCTGCTACTGCCTCTCTCTTTCTATCACATCCGAGCTTGTCCCCAGCTCCCCCCTTCTTCCTCCCTTCTTCGGGGCCATAAGATCCCCCAGCTCAGCCGGTTGGGACTCTGGGACAGGGTGGTGAGTCCAACCGGCTGGGAGTTCCTTTGTTTCTATAGCCTGCATGCAGCAAGGTAGGGCTTTTGTCTGAGAGGTCCCTGGCCAACAAGGGGACCTGATCCTGTACCAGAAGATCCATCAGAGACCATTTGAAGAAAGAGATGGGTAGGTGCCAATGCAAGAATTCCTCCAACAATCTGAAAAGCAACACAAAAACACCAGAACCCAGCGAGCCTACAACAGGAGGATTTGAACACCCTAATCCAGAAGAAGTAGAAACAATTGATGTTATGAAAGTGATAGAGTCCCTTAAACAGGAGGTGAAAAACTCCCTTAAAGAAATGGATGAGAAGAATAATAAAAAGTGTGAGAAAAAATAAGTAAATCCGTAAAAGATACCTTAGGAAACCAAGAAAAAACAATCAAACAGATAATGGAAACAGTTTAAGACTTGAAAACTGAAATGGAGGCAAGGAAGAAAACACAAACTGAGGGCCGGCTGGATTTGGAAAATCTACGTAAATGATCAGAGAAAACAGAGACAAGCATTAAACAACAGAATACAAGAGATAGAAGAAAGAATCTCAGATGCTGAAGACACCATAGAGAAAATAAACACACTGGTCAAGGAAAACACCAAATCCAACAAATTCTCATCACAAAACAATCAGGAAATCTGGGACAAATAAAAAGACCAAATCTAAGAATAATAGGGGTAGAAGAAGAAGAAGAATTACAGCTCAATGGCCCAGAAAATATATTAAAAAAAATTATAGAAGAAAACTTTCCCAACCTAAAGAAAGATATTCCTATGAAGGTCCAACAAGCATGCAGAACACCGAATAGATTGGATCAAAAAAAACCCCCTCACCATATAATAATCAAAACACTATACATACAGAATAAAGAAAGAATATTAAAAGCTGCAAAGGAAAAAGGTCAAGTAACTTATAAAGGTAAACCTATCAGACTTACACCTGACTTCTCTATGGAAACCATGAAAGCCAGAAGGTCCTGGATAGATGTACTGCAGAAACTAAGAGACCATGGATGCAAGCCTAGACTACTATACCCAGCCAAGCTTTTGTTCTCTATCAATGGAGAAAACAAAATATTCCAAGAAAAAAACAAATTTAAACAATACATAGCCACAAATCCAGTCTTACAAAAAGTAATAGAAGGAAAATCACAATCCAAGGAATCCAACAATGCCCACAATAACTCACACATCTAGCGACCCTTCA